AAGTCCACTCATCTTAAAGTGGCCAAGTTTGGACAACACTGACCTATAGTCTACTTGTTCCCTTCAACTGGTAGGACTTCTGCACTATACCACATACTCTTTACAACAGGCCATTATGTCATTTTAGACCTATGAGTTCAGCACAGCCCCTTGCAAAGGTTGAGAGGAAAGGTGGGTTGGGCAACTTCCCTGCCATCTGTCTGCTGCCCTTGATATGTATGAGCTTGAAACCAGAGCATTTTCCCTGAACAACCACTAGAGGGTCTTCCTTTTAAGGAAAAACAGAATAGTAAATAACAATAACAGCCTCATTACTGTTAAGTGCCTGGCAGCCCATGGGCATCATCTGATACTGAGCTAGACATGCCAACCAGGAACTCTGTAAAGTGGCTGGCAGTATTTGCTATTGTACATAGGAGCACCATTCTTATTTTAGTGCAATGGTAAAACATATTTAAAGAGAATAAAAAATATATGTTAATGCAATTACCATCTGGTGAAGGAAGCTAGCACCATTCCTCTTAGCTTCTTTGAAATGAGGGCACTCAGTACTTCTCACTTGTAGCACAAGGGCTTCGGCAAAGCAGCTGTGGAGTGAGGTTGGGTTGGAGGAGCCCATCGCTGGCACGAGCAGCTGATTACGGTGTTGGATGCCGCCCTTCTGCCTCACTCTGAGCATCCTTTCTCCAGACAGGATGTGGTGGAATATGGAGCAACTGGGGATGATCATGATAGCAGAGGTAGCAGAGGAAGTGCCTACCCGGCTGGTCTGTGTCAAGTGGTAAAGTGACTCAAGTCAGGCCTAACCAACTTGCAGTTCCAGAAGGCTTTTGTCTTTTCTTTTTTGGGGGCAACATTAAATTAAGCAAGCACATGGGCATGACAAGTTCAGAATGTCGTCTTAAATGCAGAGATAACGGCTTCAGCTCTACAATCCTTCTCCTTCTCCAAAGGAGCCCAGTACTTACCCACAGCACTCAGAGTGTTCTTGGCCAAGATCTGAGCTCAGCTCCTCTTGGAGTCCAGGTGGACCCTCATAGGTCATTTCTTCCTCTTGAAAAAGTTCAGTCTAAGTTCCCGAGATCTATCTTCCAAGTACCCCGCTGCATTCCAAACACGGTGCTTCATCATGAAGCCAGCTTGCTCAAAATAGAAACTTCTGCCTGGATTCAGATCCTTTCATACTGGCTTTTTTTTTTCCAGCCAGCTTGGCTCCTTTAATTATGACTGACAGCTTCCAGCCTTCCTGGTATCAGGCAATACATGAAAAATTTAATCCTATGGCTTCTCATGGGCAGCCATCACCCTGATGGGCTACGAACGTGCAATCTTAAACAGCATCCCATTTACTTAGAGTTATAATTAGATTTGTCACTCGTGTCCAGAAACGTCTTTTTGAGCCATTCTACACATTTACTTCACCCAGCCAGATACCTCAGTTGCATAACAACCCCTACATTTAGAAGGGCTTTGTCTTTGGTTAGATTCAGTGCCCTTCCAACAGCAGCCATTGAGGGGAGATATCGGAACATCCCTTTTGAGTGGAGATTGTGTCCATGAGGTGGAGGAGCAATTGAAAGTCAGGAACATGTTATATTGTACTGTCCCCTCTATGCTGACACTCACCAGGAATTACTATTCCCACTCATTGCCAAACACCATGGGTGCACTGATTCCTTCTATCTCAAATTGTTACTATCAGATCAATCTGATTTTATTTTGATGATTGAAGCCAAATACTGTTTCACAGTTTGTACAATACAGATAGTCCTTGCTTAATGTGCACTTGTTCAGTGACCGAAGTTATGACGGTGCTGAGCAAGGGGTACTTATGACAGGTCCTTGTAGTTGCAGCTGTCACAGCATCTCTGTGGTCATGTGATCATGATTCTGGCGCTTGGCAACTGGCTTGCAATTATGACATTGCAGCATCCCACGGTTAACTGATTAGCTATTTGCAACCTTCACTGCCAGCTTCCGACAAGCAAAGTCAATAGGGAAGCCTGCAGGAGGTCACAACTGACGATCACATGACTGTGGGACACTGCGGCCATGTGGGATTCTCCTAATGACTGCAAGTGGGACTGCTGGAACTGCTGTTATAAGTCAGCATGGTCACATGACATTGTGCCTTACAACCAATCACGATTAGCAATGGAGTTCCTGGTCCCAATTACTGTTGATAAATGAGGACCATAATTTTTCTTCAAACACCTCCTAGATATTTTCCCTTTGGAAGCATTTCAAATGCAGCTATCCATTTAGTCACAAATTTATAACAATGTATTATGTCCTTACTGTTAATTGATTCTTACTTCTGTCTTATTTTCATTAATAGTTGCCAGAGTCATTTTAACAATGAATAGTCACTATAATTGGACTCTTTTAGTTTTGAAACCATAATCACTTATGTGTTATTCTTCCTTATACACTACATTACTGCATTTTCTCTAGATAAAATATTAATTGTACTTTTTCCCATGGATTTTAGCATTATAATGGTTCTGTACTTTAGATTGGTAATTTTACTATTCTATTATTCTAAATAATCATTTAATTGCCTTATTCAAATTGCATGCCTTACTATATTAATTTTTATGCTCAAAATCCTTAAACATACAATTTTACTTGTATGATTTTATAGCTTTTTTTATTCTAGTCAATTTCTGTGTTATATAGGCTGAACTGATATTCAGCAAGTTAAATGTGACTTTTTCAAAAAAAGATTTGTTTTGCTGGTCAATGACTGAAATAAAATGACTGACTGACTGACTGACAAGTTCAGAATGATACAAAACATGATTAGTTCATGTACTTTATTCCCACACAATTTTCTTAAGATTTGGGAGTAATTTTAGCAACATATGCTATTAGCTTTAACATTTTAGAGTCACTACTGAATGCAGGATATTTTCTCACTTTCTGCTGAAGGGCCAGCCACATGACAATTTAATGCATCACAGGCCACAGGAATTCATGCCTTAACCATATGGTGTAATTTGGAACCATTCTATTTTCTCCTATGTCTTCCAAATGTTGATTTTATAATTTAAAGTTTTTTTTCTTGTAAATCCTCTCAGGAAAGTTTCCCGACACAGCTTTGCAATGAAGCATTTAAACATGATGAAGAAGAAAAGGTGATGGTGGTAGTGTCTGGAGCTACATTTTAGAAGACTGCTTTTTTTTAAGGTTTAAAAATGTATTTTTAGAAATGTATAAACAGACACAGTTATATTCTTATACGCTTCTTTCTATGCCTTTTTCTCCAGCCTCAATTATATATTAGTTTTCTAAGACATAAAAAATTAAAGCTTAAATTTAAAAACATTCCTGTAGCCATACTTCACAAAACATGGAAAGAGTTCCTTTTCCTTTCCTTTATTATTATTACAACACACACACACCCCCAATAACCATGCTGTGCTTCCACTGATCTGCATCTGCAATGTATTGAGGGCATTTTTGGAGGTACATGATACACATATGATACCACTGTGATTATTTAATCTATCGTGTAGATAGTATCAAATGCAAACGGAAATGAGTAAGAAATGTATTTCAGTTTCAGTTAAGCTCCTTCCAGCCTTTAACAAAAACCTGATTCCAGAGATTGTGTGCTTTTGGCCTTCTTCAGAATCCTCAAAATAGCTTGCCACATTGCTGCCTTCCCCAGTCTGGTATCTTCCGTGTGTTTGGATCACAAGACTTTGAATCCCCAGGCATTCAAGGCAACCGAGGGGTTCAGGGAGTTGTATTGCACGGGCATCAGATTGGGACCCAAGCTATGCCCAGTTGTATCTGTCTAATGAAGGAGGTTGAAAATGCAATTACATGACATTATTATTATAGTATATTAATTTATATTTTTGTGGGCATATAGATGTGGAAGATGAGAATGGGAGGCAGGATGGGTGCCTTAATGGTAGGACCAGCCCCAACCTTGCCAGAAAAGAGGGCATCTGTCAGACACAATTTCTGGTGTTCCCAAACCCTTCTAAAACTGCTACAGAGCAAGAAGTATATATGCAGATTTTCTGGGGCAACAAAACACAGCATATTGGACTATAAACTCACAGTAGGTCAGGTCTCAGAGCAAAGCAAGTGACTTATTTTTATGCTTGTTCCCCGTCTAACAAAAGCCCCATCAGTGCTTTCAGTTCAACAGGACTGAAGGACCTGACTCTTCTGCAGTGGCAAAAAACCATCATATGCAGAATACAGCTTGTCAAATTTATCCTTGAGTTTAGGTCTGGGTCCTAAGAAAGTATCAGGGAGATAAAGTTCTGCCTGTGTTTTGCTCAGGATCTACTCCAGGAGGAAGAAGAGATATGGAGTGGGATGAGGGGGGAATCAGCTCTACAACTTAAAGCTACACGATATACAGTAACAAATGCATAAGTACAGGAAGAGGATGAAAAAACACTCCACCCAGAGTGCTCCAGAGATTCCTACTTGCATATCTGCAGCGCATAATTTTTGTGGAGTGGGCAGTCAGACGCTGCCATGAACTTTCAACAGTAGGCAGGCAACAAATAAATTGATAGGGCCAGGAGAAATAAAGACTCTATAGAAGAAAAATGACAATGAATTAATGTAGTTAATACAATTACTCCCCACACATATAACTTCTCTCTTCTGCCCGTTAAGAATTACAATTCAATTGTAAATTTGAATTGGGTTCCAGGACCTCATTTTTGTGTGTGTGTAAAAAATGTTTACACAATATTTAAATCAGGCTGCTGAATTTAAACTGTATCTTTTTAAAAAAAAACACAGGTATTTTCTCTTTGCCTATTGGCCCACTCACCTGGATAGACTACATACCAGATCTGTGGTTGCAAAGAGGGTTTTCAGACTTCCTCTTGTGCTGCAAAGCAACAGTAAGTTGAGGCATAAGTTGCACAAGTCCCATCCTGCTGGCTAGAGCTTCATTGCCATTTATATTCCAAACAATCTTTAGGACCAGTAAGTGGCTCTCCAGATACTAGGCAAAGATCACGGGGTAAGGATTTGAGTTGCAACATTACATTTCTTTTAATAAACAATCTTTCTTCCCGTAGTGTGGATTTCCACTGCAGCACTTTTGAAGCTTTGGCTACTTCTATTTACAGGTATATATTCATCTACAAATCTAATCATTTTCTAAAATCCCATTCAGCTCTCTTCTTTAGGAAACTAGTCATGGATCTGGATCTAGAATTGCTCACATATAAACTACAGAGCTACAGGACAACCTATTTACCAAACAAATCCTCTGTGCTAGTCAACCACAAAGGAAAGCACGTAAAAGACACTCCTAATTACTGGATGATATGGTTTGAAACAAACATTCTTAAAACCAAAATCTTATGGGAACACCTGGACTACGTGAAGGAAATTAATGTGCAACATTGTCGTAGCATATTGGATTAAGCTAGGGTCAGATTAATTACAATTAGTTGATGAAACCCAATAGCTGACATCACATATAGTACAAAGTCACAACCCATGGCATACAAGCCACAATGGATGCATTCACACAACACATTAAGCCAAAACCAAACAAATAACTATTTAGCATGACGTATGAACCAAGCCAATGTGAGCTGTTCATCTTTAAAGCTCAAAACAGATTAACACAAACAAGATAGATTTTTATTTTTAGTTTGAAAGATGCTTGGCCCAAGTCAAGTGGTTATGTTAACAAATGTAAGAATTTGCCCTAGTATTCTCAGTATTTTCTCACATTATTTACAGCCCCTTTTTCTACCCTGGTACCATCCAGATATGTTGGACTGGTACTTCTCCTGCCTCTTGGTAATTGGCAAGATCACTAAAGCAAAATAAATCAGACTCCAACTACTGCAAACTCAGTTGTCAAAAGCCATGATAAATAAAAAAGATCTAGCAATGTTCTTGGAAAATGTCTCCAATTTAGTCTTTGGAGTCATGTTTAGGGGAAAGGCAGTTCCCAAAATGCCTCTGGTCCCAGCATGGCTTCTTAAATCTAGATTTGATACAGTCAATCCAAATGTGACAAGGATGGGAAGACAGGATGGCAAGATCCATATACCTACACACACACACACACACACACACAGAGCTTTGCCACAACAAAAACATAGTGAAAATAAG